GGTTTGGGTTTGACTGGGTTTGGGTTTGACTGGGTTTGGGTTTGACTTGGATTTGACTATATATACCTCGTACAAAGGCTGCAGTTTTCGGTAACAAAATTCGCCAAAACCGGTCAAATCTTCGTCTTCAGTAGATGCAGTTTTCTTCGCTCTATCCAATGGTGACGTCAGATTTCATTTAATCTTTCAAAAAGTGCCAAGGTTTGACAGGATTTGATCAAAAACGTGAATAAAAAGCAAGAATTTGTATAAAAATCTGTCAAACCTTAGCAATTTTTGAAAGATTACATGGAATTTGACGCCACCATTGAATAGAGCAAAGAAAACTACGTCTAATGGACACGAAGATTCGGCCGGTTTTGGCGAGTTTTGTTACCGAAAACTGCAGCCTTTGTAGGAGGTATATATAGTCAAATCCAAGTCAAACCCAATCCCAAACTCAGTCAAATCCAAACACAAATCCAAGTCAAACCTAGTCAAACCCAAACAAAGAATTGGATTTGGGTTTGATTGGATTTGGATTTGGTGCATGCTTAGTGTGGGTGTGGGTGTTTCTCGTTACTATTATTCATAACCACACCCACACCCTTAAAAATGCGAGCAGAATTTAAACAGAATTCTGTTATAAGTCACAGAATGCAAACTTTCAATAGGCATCTTAGAATCCTATACCTCCAACGCAAAAAAAAAATTCTAGTGAAGAATTTAAAAATACGACCAGACAAACTATCAATAGGCATACACTGTAATTTTTTTTGAAATTCTACTTTTCGGAAAATCGATCTCAAATAAGCTGAAGCATTTTTAAAGTTTCATGGTTTATTCATTGAATTTTAAATAATTCGAAAATGCTTGATTTTCCAATTTATAGAAATTCAGTTTGATTTTCTAAAAAAATGATTTTCAAATGAATTAGAAAATCAATATAAATTCTAGAGAAAGTAAAAAATGAAAGCAACTTTCTGGAAAATCGTTTGAACCATGACCGCTATAGAGTCATTGTTCATTCATGTATATGAGTCAACCGATGGTGCTGTGCATTTATTATTTTCTTCGGCAGCCGTAGCGAGTAGATAAGTTATATTTTTTAGTTATTATTCAAGTTTTAAATTTGAATAGAATACTATGATTTGGCTTTATTTATTGTTCTCATGCATTAATATTCGATGATATTTATTATTTTGATGCATTAATGATCAATGATTTTTATTTTTGATTTAGATGCATTATTGATCAATGATATTTTTCTATTATTTAGATACATTAATGACCAATGATATTTACTGATTATTTTGATGCATTAGTTACAATGATATTTATTTATTTATTTATTTATTTATTTATTTATTATTTGATGCATTAATGTTCAATGATATTTATTAATTATTTTGATGCATTGATGGTCAATGATGTTTATTTATTATTTAGATGCATTAATTAGAAATGATATATTACCAACATAAAGAAAAAAAAATACTTCATTATGATATGAAAATCCAATTCGATTTTGCAATTTTTAAAAAATATTCGAATAGCTATGTCGAATCCAAAATTCTAGGAATGCCTATATGAATTCAATCTCGATTTTCTAATTAGAAAATCAAAGTTCATATTTTTAATGTTTCAAATATCTGATTTTTAAGAATTTAGAAATTCATCGGCGAATTCATATAGGCATTCCTAGAATATCCTCGATTAAACTCTATAACTCATTTTCTAGTTTACAGTGTACCAGGAATGTATATATTCACTAGAAATAAAATTCTAGTGAACAATATAAAAATGCTAGCAGAATTTTAACAGAATTCTATTACGACTAACAGCATACAAACTTCTAATAGACATATTGGAAGTGTATATATCGACGAGAAAAGAAATTCTACGAAGAATTTAAAAATACCAGCAGAATTTAAACAGAATGCTGTTACAAGTAATAGAATACAAACTTTTCACAGTCATAGTAGGAGTGTATATATCTACAAGGAATAAAATTCTAGCCAAGGGGGAAAGTGCAGGTTTCAAGCACCAAATTATGGCCGATGGTGCCGAAAAGGTGCTGAGGTGCTGAGATACTGACGATGGATAGGGATGCAACAGTGACGAAAACCGTAGGTACGGTTACCGGCCTAACTACGATAACCGTAGGTACAGTTACCGGTGCCACTACGGTAACCGTAGCTATGGTTACCGATCTCACTATGGTAACTGTAGGTACGATTGCCGGCCCATCTACGATAACTGTAGGTACAGTTACCAGGCCAACTAAGATAATCATAAATACCGTTATCAGTCCCAGCCCGTTTTCACGAAGGAAAGAGTTTTTTAAGAAAATAACGATTCTTTATAAAGGTTGACGAAAGTAAATCGGGGTCGAAGAATCCGAATCTGTAGTTAGTCTTTCAATCTGAGTTTTCATTGGTTAGAAAATGGACCAATCAGAA